CTGATACATATCTATACTTTTTTACTAGGTTTCTCATGCTGCTATTCAGTTTTGTGCTTATGAAGAACTTCGGAAGATCGCCATCAATTTAAAATCAAGAAGAGAAAAGACAGACGTGAAAGATGGTGATAGGTTACTGGTACCGTGACACAGTTCTTACATTCTCATCTTCTGTTGCTAGATTTCTGCATTACTATTCTGAAGGGTAATTGGCATAAGAAACTTAGGAAATGACTGACCTTAGTATTTAAACGGAATTTTCTTGTTATAACTTAATAAAATATATTTTGTTGGCTTCTCATTGGATTCTATGTAAGTTTCACTAAGCATTTTTAGACTGTAGAGGTTTACTGCTGCGTTCCTAGAACAGAAAGGAGAAAAGGGCCTATATTCATGTTTCCATTAGCTACTATTTTTTTATTCTAAAAACACTTCCTTTTTTTTGCAGAACTCTTTTGATTATGCTATGCTTGGGGGCGCTTCGAAACTTGCTGCTATTCTGCTTACTTACCCATCACAGGCATTTTCTCTTCTTATTTTTAAGATTAACATCTTGTTATGGCAAAAGTTTTTTAGATGATTTTAAGTATCTATTGTCCTTCTGTGATTTTTTTTAATGTTATGAAAAATGCATGATAATTCATGTTCTTGTCATTGATTCTTAGTTATTACAATGCAGGTTATTCGAGCTCGCATACAAGTAAGAGTTATTTTGAATTTTGCTCTTATTTTAAATTGTTATGTTAATCTTTTATGTAACTGACTACCAAATCATAATTGCAGCTAAGAAATCCTAAATCTTGGTGAAACATTGAGTTTACAATTATCAAAGCTTCACAATTTTGTTATTAATTCCTAAGCAAATTCTATTTCCATATATGTTTCACATCAGTTATTCTGCGTTTCTTGTTTTGGTATGTTAAACGTTTGGATTTCAAACACTAGTTTCAAGTTATTGATAGGAGTTAGGATAATACTCTTCTCAGCGAATCAAATCTGCTATAGGAATGCTGATGAACATCTGAATATCGGCCTTTTTTTAAAGACTATAAGCTTCTTAGGAGCTACCTTTCAGAGAATTTTTTTTTTTTTCAGTCTTACGATGGCTGACAGATTGGTTTCTTTTCAGCAAAGGCCAAGTAGTGATGGAATCCCAAAATACTTGGACAGTTGGCATGTAGCATCAGAAACTGCAAGGTGATTAATTTGATTACTACTTTATAGTTCTTAAATTTTCTAAAATACACCCACAACATTGAATTGCTGGATGGCATATTTGTTAAGTTTTAATCGGTTAATAACTCATGAGAAACCTGCTTGCATGTATTGATGCAAGTGGATGTATATTTTGGTCTAATTGGTTTGGTGTAACATAAGGTACCAACCATGAAGTTCTTCCATGTTAGGTTGCCCTGTGATCTGAAAGTTATGAATTCGGATTTAACATAACGTTGCATGTAATAAACCATTCTTGGGTTCCACAGTGATGGATCTTGTGCGCTAGGTATTGCCCGTTTTATGAAGAACTAATCATGGATGCACATATGTGAGTGGTTACTTTTTTGGTGGCATATCATTTTTTTTATTAATGGACACAAATGGCTTTTTATCAACTTTGTTTTGGGTGATTTAAGAATGATGAGGATGTTGCTCAGAGATTCCGACATGTGTACCAGCAACGGAATCGTAGATCGACGGCTACGATTCAAAGTCTTTATTTTTGATATATTTTATGTTTTATTTATTTTCCTGCATTTCAGTTTGCCTAGTTTACCCCTATGGGTAGTGAGTTCGTATTGTATCCCTGAGGGCATTTGAGTCCTTTTTTTTCTTTTCTTTGTGTTTGAGATCTATATATAGCGGCCTTGTGCTTTGTAAAAGGTTAATGAATGATTGAATGAAAATTAGATGATTGTCTTCTTCATCTTGTGTGTGCACTAGAGAGAAGAGGGCCCGTGGTGAGGGCAAGCGTAATACCCACTAGTTATTGGAAGAGTGTGTGGCTCGTGGCTTATTTTCTTTTTCCTTGTTTTTCCTCCCAAACCAGCCGGCACTCCCCCTGCTGACGGTCCACCTCCATGCTCCCCATCATAACGGTGGTTCCAATCATCTTAATGTATTCCTAAATTAGCTCAAGCAAGAAAGGAAGGCTCGGGGATTATTTGAAATTCAAATTTGAATTTCAAAACTTTCCATATTTGCAAATTCTAAATATGGAAAGTTTTTAAATCTAAATCCAATTTAAATTAGATTGGATTTATTATTCTCCTTCCTAATTTGCAAAGACTTGTTTGAAAGCTTTTAAAACCCTCCCCAATTCCCTCCTCCCTCTCCTCATGCTGTCGGCCCCCATCATTGGGCTGCCCATAGTTTTTCCTATTGAAGCCTTAAGCCTTATTTGAATTTGAATTCAATTTTCAAATTCAATTCCCTCCCAAACTATTCAAATCTGAAATTAATTTCAACTTTATTGAGAACCCATCACCCAAACCCTAAACTTAACTTATCCCCCACAAGCCTCCCTCTCTCCTTAGCCGCCCCCTCCTACTATCATCTCCCTTGGAAACCCTCTCATGAGTTTTGGAGCCATGAAAAGAAGGCAAACTCCTTCCTCCCTTCTACCATTGGTGCATGGCTGACATTGAGGTCGACCACGGATTCGCCTACAATGCTCAAGGAGAAATCGACATATTGCTTTGTCCTTTCTCTGATCTGGATTGGGACTATGAATATTCAGTGGAAAGCTATGTCAACCACATATTCTATTACCTCGCCGAGACGATTGACGAACAACGACCCACTGGACATTGGCAAATCGTCGGCCGATCAACAACCTCTCTTTCTCCGGCGAACAAGACCCTACGCGTCACTTGTTGGTGGTGGCATCACTAGGGTTGTTTCTACCCTTTCTCCGCTAAGCCCCAACATCAAGAGCGAGAGTGAAGGAACTCAGGGTGAACACTTCTTGATGTTGTGCCGTGGATTTTTATTTCTTTGCCATTAATTTTAATTTTTTTTATTTTTGTTGTTACTTGCAAATGTTTTGTTAATCTCCTTTGTAATTGCTTGCTATTACTTAAATCTTCTAACTGAAACTTCTAAGAATTTGACCGGGTGAAACATGAGTTTTTAATTAGCAAAGTTAAAGTTCAAATTATTGTTAATTTTCGGAAGCTATTCTTGTTCACTCTTATGATTCACATCAAAAGTTCCTTAGAATTTCTTTCTATCAACATGCAGCTAATTTTGATCACTCTATTTTGATATTGCTCAAACTTGTGATATAGCATTTTAATATAACCAAATATATGAATATAAACTATTATTTTACTTCCGCAAGTGATCAATAGCACTATTAAGAAGCAAACACTATCTATTTTTTATTGTTTTACTCTATTATATAATTATGGTGTAAGCTAGTTTATGGTTTTCTATGACATAATTTATACTAAACACATCAATAGCGCACTATTTGAGGTTGGTTTAGGTTTTCCTAAAAACAATCACAATTAAAAGTTTTTCAACTATTATTTTAAGCAAAGATCAATCTCTGTTGGTGTATAATGAAAAATAACACATTTCATTCATTCCAAAGGATGATGTAAAAGACGCCAAAAATATGAAGTTTCCTAGAAATTCGAGAACCAACACAAAATTCCATAGTGATTAAGATTTGCATTGTAAAAAGGAAACTTGACACCTCAATTTGACAAAATCTCAATCATGCACAAACACCAATCACTAAGCGATTTAGAAGAACGAACGAGTATAGAAATCACCAATTTGAAGATCCAAACATTACATTGATAGTAGGAGAATTATTCCTTGGATACTGTCAAGATTCCCAAGCATTTGAAGAATACAAAAATTCTTAATTTGAGAGGGAACATAATTTTATTCAGCCATTTAATGTTATTTTTATATGCCTTAGAGATCCTATTTATAACCCAAACAAAGCAATTTCTTAGAATCCTCTATGTCTAGGCTTATTATTCACTAGTTTCAATTTGACACACTTGCATTCCAATAATAACAAAAAAAAAATTTAAGCTTCAACAAAAAAATGAGTTTTCAACTCAAAAGAATCACGATTCTAATAATTCTAGCACATCCCAACATTTGCCACTGTGTGATACTGAAAAGGTAAGAAGTTGAATATAGCTAACATGCCCAAAATGGAAATCAAGTAGTAAAAAAGGATACAATGCCGAAGAAAGAAGAGCATGTTAAAGAAAAGCTCGAAAAGTACAACATTGCTGGGCAAGAAAATAGTCGTAGATGGAAAACACATGAAACTCTTATACATAGACTCGAGTCCATTAATAGAGCAATGCCGAGAAAGGAACCAAGTAACTGAATATAACTATAATGCTTGGAGGAAACAACCATAGAAGGAGAGTCCACAAAGAAAATACCACATAATGAAAACTCCTTCAACCCGCTAACTTAACACGAAATTTGTGACCATCAAAGTTAAATTCCAAACTAGTTGATGGATAAAGAGATAATTGGTTGTGCTGAAATATAAATTTGGAAACAATTGAATTAGAGAGTTCAAGAGCTGCATTTAAAATACTTGTAATAATAAATCAAACATAACGAGGCAATCAAAACACTAGAGAATATAACATGTTCTTAGTAGGATCATCATAGACATATTTTTACATTAAAATGAATTAGGAAATATAAAACTAAAAATAAATTAACATCAAGGCGCATAAATTGCTTTTTCAATGAGTATGGACTTGCATCATTTTTGCCCAACTTGAAAAAATTCAACATGTTGAATTACATATTTGATATTTATTTGGCAACAGTATTATGATTTCCATGTGTCATCCCAAACAGAAGAAACTTATGATTATCACCATAAATAGTGGACACAATCCGTACATTTAAGTTTGCTTTTGGTGCAAACGTGTAGATCCATCTAGAAAGGCGTTGGATATAAATTCACAAGGAGATGTAAGCAGAGATGAGTTCTTCATATTAGTAGTAGTCTCTTGAAATAAAGTCCAAACTGATACATTAAAATTTGAAGTAATATCAAAGCTTCCCAATTTCAATTTTATAAGTATTTATCACAATGCACTATATGGTATATGTCCCCATGTTTCTTACAATTAACTTCTTTGAAGTCAATGCACGAAGCCTTTTTGGATTCAATACCACTTTATCTTATCTCTATGTTTGAATTTCATGCCTCCTATTGGTGTTAGCAATGGGATTATAATTTTAATAGTTTGGTTTTATGTGAATCTTTTTATGTAAATCAAATCTAATCATGCAATTCATGCAAATAATATGTAGTAATGAAAATACTAAAATGCCAACGTGCTTCCTAATTGACATCAATAATGATGTATAACCTATTCTTAGATGATGAGATATTGAAGAAAATTAAAAATAGGTCAACGACAAATGTGATATCTCCATATGGACAAACAAGCTTTTCAAAAAAGCTAACCCAAATGACTTATATTAGGGGTTATGCCTTTTGACTTTTAGAATCATCCAGATTGACAAAAATTGAAAATTGAAGTTTTCTTTAGAACAATCATCACGAATAAATTGTCTTAAATATCGACACAAATAGACTTTCTCTATAAGTTTTTTCTCCCTGAGTTTGAAAATCAAGAAGCCAAGAATATTAAATGAAATCAATTTGAATAAAGACAAGAATATTAAATGAAATCAATTTCAATTTGATTTACAGAAATAACTACATTAGAAGGTTCATCAGGAGTTACATCAACTTGTTTATTGGTCATCGGCTATAACATACATATTTTGCTCATTTTCATGTTTAGGGCTAGACGCAGTTTTGATTTGAAATTTAGGTTCATACTCAATAGTATATTCAAATTCCAGTATAAGTTTGTATTCACCACCATCAACAACAACATCAAGCCTTTATCTCACTACTTGGAGTCGGCTACTTGATTTTTTTTTTTTTTCATTGTGTCTTGTTAAGGGTTAAATTCTCATTTAAATCTAATAAAAAAAGGTCATTTCTATTATTTTTAAGCAAGTCTGTTTAGGTCTACATTTATTTTTATTAACATAGGTCAAATCTAATACATCTACTATCCTAACCAGATCATCAAAAGACTGCCGTTTATACATACAAACCATCTAAGAAGACTCTCTAATCTTATCTGCCATTGGAGATACTACAACTTTTTCACATATATACTCAAATTTTATTCATGGTTTTGGTTCAATTATGATATTAGTTTTGATTTCACCATCAAGATTATATTTCGACCCCATTCATGGTTTAGGTTCAATTATGATATTAGTTTCGATTTCAAATTCAATATCTATTTTGAGATTTGGGTTCAGTACTTGCACACTAAAATTTTAGTTTTAGGCCCAAATTTGAATTCTTATTCATGTATATGTTGAACTTCATCTTTATGATTAGAGTTTTTTTTTTTTTTTTACTGAAGTGCAGAAATCCCTGCATATGAGTAGAGTTAATTTCTTGCTGAGGCTCAAATTTTCCCATGATTTCAGGGATCAATGTTAGCCTCAATTTCTAATTCAGATGTGATCAAATGTTTATATTTAGTTCCAGATTCAAATCTCAATTATTATTCAAGTATAGGTTTAGATTCATGACTATATTCTAATGTGAGTACAAATGCAATTTCTTTTAAGAGACTTCACTTTAAAGTGTGGTAGTCCTAACAAAATATTCATAACATTCAAATATTTATGCTTTACAAATGACCAATTTTTTGAATTTATGTTTTAGGTTAAACCTATTTGAGGTCAGTTTCTTGCAACTAGTTCTAATTTAACACATTTAAGTCATCCAAAATCAAATAGATTGAATATTCAATGCAGTCCAAATTATAGATTCGTTTTGAAAATTCTTTTAAGGTTATCCCTTCATTGAATGTAGAAATATAATTTTTATCCTCACAGTAGTAGTGATGGTGTGATCGTAATTTACCTGATCTTGTTTAATTTTCATCATTTATAATTTTTTGTTGAGTAAAGTAATATTTTCTATGTTTAGTTAACATGATGATGCAATCATAAGCTAAAATATCAATTTGATTTTGGAAATCTCTCTTCTCTTCCTCAAATAAGTTCCTGTTTTTGCTGAGGCTCTTGGCTGTGCACTTTCCTTGCTTCCATGAGCTCTGTAATCATTTTTTCTTTCTGCTATTAGTGCCTTCATCCCTTCGCCTTGCCATCTTGAGCCTGTTTCCCACACCTTTGCTGAAACCATACTACACCATCCCTCAAAGTCTGAAACCCTTTCTACCTTCAAATTTTGGTGAAATTATTCTGTGCAGATACGGACGCCATCCAGAGGCGAATCAGAATGTGCCATGTCACTCGTTTGTTGTGTACAGAGTGATGTGGCGCATTCTGATTCGTCTTCAGACGGTACGGTATCCGAACATAATAATTTCTCCAAAATTTGAGCTCTCCGTGTCATTAAAAACCTATTCTCTTGCTGTAAACAACCATTTAAGCTTTCCTTAGAACCCTAACCTGCCGACCTTCATTTATATGCATCCAAATTTTAGTGAGTAACCAACCCCCAACATCTTCACTCCTGCAATGAATCATCATTGTCCGAGTCCATATGGAGCTCGAGTTTCAGTTGTTTAGTAATGAGAAAGCAATTATCACAATTTCTAACTGGACCTTCTGTTCTCAACTTGGACCACTCTTTACCCAGTCAGTACTTAGTGAACGAAAATCAGATATTTGCATGGAAGTTCCCATTTTGGGCTCAGTGGGTCTTTTTGTTTTCCTTCACCTGGCCGCTCTTCCGGGCCCCTTGAAGTTGGAAAATATACATTTTTTGAACAATGATGAGTTTACTGTATTATACCATTTGATTGAATGTAGTTAGAAATCATATTGAGTTTAAATCATCACCTTTAAAACCCTTCAAAAGTGGATTTCACATCCCAGCTCAGTAAAATGAAAGCAATGACCCCTTAGGCTGGCATCTGCTAATATTTCGAGTTAGGCTTCGTTTGGGACAGCTTTCTTATAGCTTTATAAAGCAGTTTTTCAATATAAAATTTTTTTGTTTACCCGGTTAGGAGAGTAGATGTATTAGATTTGACTTGTGTTAAGAAAGGTAGGGGTAGACCTAAAAAGATTTGGTTAGAAGATATTAGGAATGACCTTTCTTTATTAGATTTAAATGAGAATTTGATTTTTAATATGACACAATGGAGAAAAAGGATTCATGTAGCCGACCCCACGTAGTGGGATAAAGGCTTGATGTTGTTGTTGTTGTATAGTGAATTATGAAATGTAATAGCCATTTGGGAATCCCCATGAGTTGATAAAATTTATGTTAGTATGTCCCAACACAAATATGTTCAGGATTTTTATAATTATTAGATTTATTTTGAGTTAAATATAATACTTAATTAAAATAAAATAAATTTAAATTATATTTATGTTAAAATAAAGCTAATGATTATAAAAGTCAGCTTGATTAAGGCTTCGTTTGGGATGACTTTCTTGTTACTTCTTAAAGCCACTTTTTAGCACAAATTTTTTTTTTTAATAGAAAGATGTTTTAAGAAGCAGTAAAAAAGCCGTCCCAACCGAATCTTAAGATTTTGTTTGGGACAACTTCCGAGTAAAGAATTTTATAGTTCAATAAATTTTTGTACTAAAAAGTTACTTTATAAATCTTTAAGAAAGCTGTTGACTTTGCACTCAACATGTTTTATGGATATGTTGCAGGTTTGAAGGCGCAAGAGGATTTTACAGGGGCATCACATCCAGCTTGCTGAAAAACATTCCATCGGCTTCAATTACTTTTGTAATGTACGAGAATATCCTAAAGCTGTTTAAATTATCTCAGAGTAAATTAGATGCTTCAGATTAATAGTTTTGCTGAGCATTACTCGTTTTAATTTATCATTTATATAATACATAAACTGTGTTACAATTTCATTTTTTTTTTTATTAAGTGATAATATTTGAAAGATAATTGTAATTTTTACACATTATGAAATTGTTATGAGAAAAAAAAATTTTTTTTTTGAAAGTTGTAAAAAATAGATTCTAATAAGTTGTTGCCTTGCTTGGTGTTTGCATTGGTTGGTATTGCTGTTTTGTTGCCTCTTTTGACTGTTGCTGCGTGTGATTGCTGGCTTGCTGCTGTTATTGCTTAAGTGCTGTCACAACACTTGAGGAGCACAACTCCGGTTATTGATTAATTATTTTGTGCGGACGGCCGAATGTCATTTGGATACTAATCATAATGCGTTGCTTCACCTCTTCGCTTGGTACTGCAGCTCGGTATTCCTCGATTTCGCAGCTCGGTATCGTTGATGTGGTGCATTATGATTGGTCTCCGGATGACATTCTGCTTCCGGCGTCCGCACAGAATAATTTTGCTTGTTGCCGCAGCTTGGTAGTATTCGGTTCTGTAGCTCGGTATCGTTGATGTGGGGCATTATAATTGATCTCCGAATGACAATTTACGTCTGGCCTCTACACAAAATAATTTTTGCCTGTTATGATGGTTTCAAAGAATGGTAATGGCTACATGGAGGTGGAACTAATGTAGGACAGGAGACTCTTTACTTATCATCCCAAAGATGTTTCAACAATTTAGGAGAGCTATCAGACCTATAACAATGGAGTTGTTGGCTTATATTTTAAAAAAGGGGGTTGTGATATAATACAAATCACTTAAGATTAAGGTTTCGTTTGGGACGGTTTTTTTATTGCTTATTAAAATTAATTTTTAGTTTAAAATTTTTAATTTTTATATTAAAAAACTGTTTTAAGAAGTAGTAAGAAAGTCGTCTCAAATGAAACCTAAGTTGTGTTTGGCTTGGCATATGCATTGAATGACTTACCTGCAATAATTCAACTTAATGATCAAATACAAGATGGGGTTTAACGAAAAAATGGTTACATTGCTCTAAGGAACATCGTTAATGCTTTCTTATTTATGTTTTATCATCGTTAACTATGGGTCTTGCATCTGTAGGGTTGGTTGTTGGTAGATTCGCCGAGGGATTAGTAAACATTGTCAAGCGCATCACAAGCTGATGTGGCAGCGGGCCGATACCCCCGTTCCAAACAAAAAAAAATCAAACCATTCTTTTTAGAAAGATTATTATAAGCAACAGTAGATGAGTATCTTCTTCAAAGGGAACTTGTAGGCTTTGGAAATTAAACCTTCTATTCAAAAAGATTATCAGAGTTGAGCTGAAAAAGCATTACGAAATCTGCAATGCTATATTTGGTAATTGGTAGTGATAGAAATAGTGAGGGGATTGTGATCTTGGACGATCAAGTCATTAATAACAGTACATATTTTAGATATCTTGAGTCTATTGTTCAGAGTGATGATAAAAAATTCTTGTATATAAATGATGTAATTAAGCCGAAACAAACGAGGCCTAAATCCCACCATGAGTGAGTGTAGAATTCCACCCACCGCGAACCCCGCCCGAATGAGCGTGACCGCCTCTGTACCGAACTCGACAAGAATTAAACTCAAATAAATCGACAGATTAGCTGAATTAGACTACTAATTGTTGAAAAATTCTTGTAAATTTTTTCCAACATTTGAGAGCGATAGAGAGAGCAAGTAAGAAACTTCTGTCAATAACATTTCAACAATTAAGCATGTTGAAAATGTGAGGTTTTCCAAATAGGAAATTAACTTATTTTGATATTAATTTTTAAAATCTAAAATATAGGTTTCTTTTGGGACGATTTTTACATTGTTTTGTTAAATTGATGTAGATACAGCAAAATTTAAGATTGTTGTAGAAAGCATTTCATTAGCACAATTTTTTTCGAAATATATGCAACAAAGCAGTGGCTAAGGCTTCGTTTGGGATAGCTTTCATATTGCTTTATAAAACGGCTTTTAATATAAAAAATTTTTGAAAGAGAAAATTTGGTACCAACAATCTGCTTTAGAAAGCAGTAAGAAAATTGTTCCAAACGAAGTCTAAATAAAAATTGTGATTACGGTTTGAAATTAAAACAGTGAAAAAGTTGTCCCAAACATAAATATAATTTGAGGAAATTTGGAAAGACTTTGGCAATAAGTCTATGTTGTAATATTTTTTTTTTTTTTCGCTAATAACTATCAAGTTATTATTATTATTATTATTATTTATTATTATTATTATTAGTAGTATTTTAAAATGGCAGAGGGGAAAGGTCAAGGAATTTGCCTCTCTATTTTCTTTTATTTGACGCAATACCGAATATCCTCAACGGGTTGGTGGACTGGCAGGCCGATTATCCTCCACAATACTGAAGTCAAAACCTTTAATATTGTATTAACGATTTACACCAAAAAAAAAAAAAAATCAAGCATATGATATTCTTATTATTCTACCCATGAGGCTGATTCTTCTTTGATGTTGCTTATTCAAATTAAGAATTTCCGGACTCTAATTTTAATAAATTTATGACTGAATTGAACGCCTCGACAAAATGAGCTTAACGACATCACAAGTGATCATCTAACTTCCATCATTGACTAGGATCCTCTGACAACACAACCTTCGGTTGGCCATAATTGTTCATTCAAAATCACCTGATTACGATACTTTGACCTATATTTTTCTGACCCTAAACACTGCTACAACGATGTTTGTTGACTTTGACACATGTCTTACAAACAATGTCAATGCTAGAGGTGTAAACGAATCGAGTGGAGTCAAGTAGAGTATTGACATTATCGAGCTCAGCTCGTCAGTCATAATATCGGCTCGAGCTCGAGCTCAACTCATTGTACTGCAGGTCGGCTCGTCGAGCTGATCAGCCGAGCTGATCGATTCCACACACGAGCCCGTGTCTGGCGTTCTGTTGTTCTTTCGAAATTCCCTCCCGCATCCTTTGTTTCGCAATTCCCACCTAGCCATTCGAAAATCCCATGTTCTACCATTTCGACTTCCGGCAAGCGAATTGGAATTCCGTCCACAAATTGGAATTCATGCCCATTAGACTACTAATTGTTGAAAAATTCTTGTAAATTTTTTCCAACATTTGAGAGCGATAGAGAGAGCAAGTAAGAAACTTCTGTCAATAACATTTCAACAATTAAGCATGTTGAAAATGTGAGGTTTTCCAAATAGGAAATTAACTTATTTTGATATTAATTTTTAAAATCTAAAATATAGGTTTCTTTTGGGACGATTTTTACATTGTTTTGTTAAATTGATGTAGATACAGCAAAATTTAAAATTGTTGTAGAAAGCATTTCATTAGCACAAATTTTTTCGAAATATATGCAACAAAGCAGTGGCTAAGGCTTCATTTGGGATAGCTTTCGAATTGCTTCATAAAACGGCTTCTTAATATTAAAAAAAAAAATCAAGAATATGATATTCTTAGTATTTTACCCATGAGGCTGATTCTTCTTTGATGTTGCTTATTCAAATTAAGAATTTCCGGACTGTAATTTTAATAAATTTATGACTAAATTGAACGACTCGACAAAATGAGCTTAACGACATCACAAGTGATCATCTAACTTCCATCATTAGACTAGGATCCTGTGGCAACACAACCTTCGATTGGCTATAAGCGTTCATTCAAAATCACATGACTACGATACTTTGACCTATATTTTTCTGACCCTAAACACTGCTACAACGATGGTTGTTGACTTTGACACATGTCTTAGCAAACAATGTCAATGCTAGGGGTGTAAACGAATCGAGTCGAGTCAAGTAGAGTATTGGCATTATCAAGCTCAGCTCGTCAGTCATAATATCGGCTCGAGCTTGAGCTCAACTCATTGCACTGCAGGTCGGCGTTCCGCACACGAGCTTATGTTTACTATATCGTATCAAAAATTTATACAATAATGGGAAATGACATAATTTGTAACGAAAGAAAAATAATAGTCAAATCATTCCAATTAGATCAGACCACATGATTATTTCTTTTTAATGAATTTTACAACTCTTATTTTATCTTTGTGTGATGAATCTTTGTATAATATTAAGAACATAAACACTTCATAGTGAATATTCCAGCAAATGATAATCTTTATAATACTAATTATGATCGATAAGATGTGTTCGATGAAAAAAGAAGTTAAATTTAAACTAATTTTGACAATTTAAATAAATATTTTTAATACAAAATATCCTATTTTCCCCCAATTTTTATTATTATCTTTTTAATTTCTCATTATTTATATTATTTCATTATAATTAATAATTAAAGTAAAATAGGTTTCTCTTTATAATAAAAGAGCTGACTTAGAAACATAATTTTGACTTAGAAAAGTAAACCTAAAAAAGTTTTATGACTTCTTGTTCATAAGTAGTCACTTCAATCAACCAAACGCTTCACATCCATCCATCTTCAGCATTGAAGAGAAAGTAAGACTTCGTTTGGGACGGTTTTCTTATTGCTTCTTAAAGCAACTTTTTAGGACAAAAATTTAAATTTTTGTAATAAAAAGTTGCGTTAGGAAGCAGTAAAAAGGCAGTCCCAAACGAAGCCTAAGAGAGCCGTCTTGCACTGGCTTTGGAAAAATTATTATGAGTGGAGTTGGGACCAAAAATTATGTATATATATCGCACGTAATAATCACTTCTTGCTAGATTGAGAAGTTATTACGAGCGGAGTCCGTACTGGAGAACTGTCCGGATTATGTGTGGGTGCACAACAATTATACAGCAAAAAAATAAAACTGTATATTTGTTGTGTATTTATTATGCACCCTCAAAGGATCCGGACGGTTCCCCGTCCAAACTCCGCACGTAATAATCTCTCGACTGGCTTAGGGATCTTTAAAAAGAATTAATAAAATTGTAAATTAGAATTTAAAATTCATTTGTAATTAAAAAAAAATTGTATGAATGTACAAATATTTATTTAGAGCTATATGCACATAATTGGTTCATGGATGTAAGAGAATTAACTCTATTGAGATCATCGCTAACTATTGTCGCTGAC